CCGCTGGCTGGAGCTCGGCTGACGCTTCAGGCGCCGGACGTCCGGTCTCGAACGGTCGTCCGGTGGCTGGGAAATTTCCTGCAGCTCTTCTTCTTCTCCGTTTTCTCGTCCATCTTCCTCTTCTTCTTGTCCTTGCTCCTTAGATTCTTCATTTGTACCTGAGTATGCATAATGTATCCATATGAGGTAGTAGCCATGCTTCATGTGCATCGGAGTGGAATTGTGAGAGGAGAGATGTCACCTCGGTTTCAAGGGCTCTTGCACGTGATCGAGTCATGGACCCGATAGGCACTTGGTGAGACGATGGTAGGTCCATGGGGATGACCTTGGGATGCTCCGCATCACTTCTTCCTCTTATGCATCGACACTAGCATAGCGATGTCCTCTTCTTCGATCAAACCAAATTCCTCATCCTACGAGGAATCTTCCACGAAAGAGAAGTCGCACAAGCTCATCTACAATACGAAAATCATCGTCAAACTACATCTTCAACCCCGATAAAACAACCTTGAAGTTTGCACAATTTTTACCTAGGAGAATTTGTCAAACACCTTCCGTGCGAGGTGGAAGAAATCGGACGGCGGCAGGTGGGGCAGCCGTTCGGCGGCGGCTTGTGCGGCCGACAGGTGCAGAACACCTACAAACGGCCGCGACATTGCAGAGAACATGGCGGCAGCTCCGCGCGTGGGTGGGCGGCGTTGCGCGGCGGGAAGAACGGCCGAGGCGGGCAGCCGTCGGGGCGAGCGGTGTGGCGCGCCTCCCCTAGCTCCGACGGTGGTTCGAGGCTAGCTAAAAGTCCAGCCCACCTGGCCGTCAAGGGCATTGCAGCAGCCGACCTCCGGCGAATCTTTGAATATGTGGCTGCGGCCGTCGCTACTCCGGCGAGACAGGCGACGGGGGACAGGCGGGCGGGGTCGTAGCGGGGTTGAAGGTGGGCGGGCAAGCGACGGAGACGAGTTTGGGATAATCCGATAGCGGCGGAGTTAGACAGCCATCAAGCGGGTGGGGGGTAGTCGGTCGGTAGCCAAATGAAGGCAGTTGAGCAGTTGACGCGCAACCGCCGTTTTTACATCTCCTGGAGGTAGGGATGTAATTTTTTACATCTAAATCATCTGTTAGAGAGGGTTTTGAGGCCTCAGAGATATAAAATTTAATTATTTTTGCATCTACATCATCTATTGAAGATGCTCTTATGAGTTTTCTTGCGAACACCAACAGGTAAACACATACGGTATAATCTACTCTAACTGCCTTAAAAACACATCTAACTACTGCAGAGCTGAATTAGTAGCAATCAGGTACCCCAAAGAAAATAATTAGCCATCGATGGACTATGATAATGCTAGTCACCGAACTGGAGTGTGCTACTCCCACTGACCACTTACCACTACTAATATGGCACATCAGCACAAGGCTAGATTTAGATTGCTCCGGTTCGAAACTGCTGCTCCAAATGCGTCACGCGTGTACTGGAGCGTGTTCTTTTTGTGGATTAATCACGTGTTTCTGTGTCGGCGTACGTGTTAGCTGACGAGTTGTATTCATAAGCCAAGCCCCTGACCTAACACCAGTTGAAATCTCGAGTAGTAAACCAACAGCCCAACGACCCGGTAGCTTGGTACGCGGTTTGCAGTCTCAGTCGCGTGTTGCATCACACACACGCACTGACGCACCCACAGGCCAGGGCTTCTTGCAGCTCGCGTACGTGATTTTTTCTATCTTAGTCAGTCTGACGCGCAAGTAGCTTTCCCACCCACAATAATAATCATGGACACGTTGTTTTCCTGTGTCGGTGCGTGCAAGGTACAATGGCAATTATGAACATCATTTTTCAACTATCATCAAGATACCCCTCCGTTCCTAAATACTCCCTCCTTTCCAGTTTATAGGACTTATTTCAATTTTTTTATAATATTTAATTTGATTGTTTCCCATCACATGTTCAGACTTCAAAGTGCATTAAATTATTACATGCAAATATTAAGAGAAAATTGACCAATGCATGTATTTTATGCATGCATATATTGCAATTAATACATTGGTGAACATGATTTTTTGAAAAAACAAAAGCATTAATTAAGTATTTTTGCAAACTATAAAAAATATTCCACCACTCACCATCTACCTTGGTTGGTGAGATTTTTGAATTGAGCTCTATAAACCGGAAAGGAGGGAGTATAAGTTTTTATATAAAGATTCTAATATAGAGACTACATACAAAGCAAAATGAGTGAATTTTACTAAAAGTGCAAGGTGAATGCCTAGGGCAACGTGCGGACGTGGAGTTTTGTTATTGTTTAGTTAATGTTTAAGTATTATGTTCATTTCCGCCACATGTTTATCATTCACATTTTTTCTTTGGACGCCGGCATAGATGGGTCTGCGTCACGTTGGGCGCACCAGTCGACCCAAATCAAAAGGCGGACATGTCCGTCCACCTGACCGATTCAAATGGACGAAAAGTGGATAAAATACGTGTCTGTTGCGTCTTGTTGGGCGCACCAGTCGACCCAAATCAAAAGGCGGACACGCCTGTCCACCTGGCCGACCCAAATGAATGAAAGGTGGACAAAACATGCGTCTGTTGCCTGTCGTTAGGCGCATCAATCGACCCAAATCAAAAAGCGGACACACCCGTCCACCTGGCCGACCCAAATGGATGAAATATGGACAAAATACGCGTCTGTTGCCTCTTGTTGGGCGCACCAATCGACCCAAATCAAAAGGCGGACACGCCGTCCACCTGGCCGACCCAAATGGATGAAAAGTGGACAAAATATGCGTCTGTTGCCTCCCGTTGGGCGCACCAATCGACCCAAATCAAAAAGCGGACACACCCGTCCACCTGGCCAACCCAAATGGACGAAAAATGGACAAAACAGGCGTATGTTGCCTCTCGTTGGGCGCACCAATCGACCCAAATCAAAAGGCGGACACACCTGTCCACCTGGCTGACCCAAATGGACGAAAAGTGGACAAAACACGCGTCCGTTTGGATCGCCGTGTTGGAGTTGCTCTAATGAAACTACTTATACATCATCATGAAGGTGGGAGGGTTGAGAAGATGGCCCCTCTAATGGCTTCCTCCTCCGGTGAAACTCCGGAATAAGGCTCCAAATGGGATCTCTTCGGAACATAGGCTTGTGGCGGCGATAAAATTCTCTTGAAGGAATGGCGAATGGTTTCGGTATTTATAGGGAATATAGGAAGTGGAGTTAGGTCAAAATTCTACACGTGGGCCCCACAGCCTAGGTGGCGCGACCACCCTTGCCCATGCCACATGCCCCTGTGGCTGGCTGGTGGGTCCTCTCGACTCTTCCAAAGCTTCCAGTGTTCAAATTTACATTTTTCAGAACCCATTTTCTATATTTGAGTCATTAAGTGGATTTTTTGGTATTTAATGAATATTTGTATATTCATATTTGTATATTCATATTTGTATATTCATATTTGTATATTTGTATGCCCAATAAAAGAAATGAAAAGAAATTTAAAAGATCTATGTTGCAAGAGTCAGTCACAAACATGCAATTTATTCGTTCTTAAAATTCTAGAAAATGAAAATGAGGTCCGCAAAGATGAAACTTAGCATAGTATCATGATATGACCTCAGTATGTTGTGAAACAAATTAAAAGGTTCGCAAAAGTTTTTATGTGCACTTTTTAGAAATTGAACTATCTCCGAGAAAGAGTCGTGGTTTTGAGAGTGAATGCATGAAGTTTGAAGGTGAATTGACACTTCCTTGTAGTCCGACCTTGAAATTTTGTATACTCTCAACATACACCATAAGATCTTTCATGTTAAAATTTGGCACTTTCCAAAGCTCATATCCTATATCTAAGTCATTAAATGCATTTTTAGGCATTTATTAGATATAATTTAAACTTGAACTACGAATACATGAAACACTACACGAAATTAATATTGATGGGCCGACGAATGGGAATCGACAGCTAGGTGATGCAGGTTTTATCACTAGGAATCATACTAGTGCTTTTATGGCTGCTAGAGGTGCAAGATGTGATCACAACATCGACCCACTGTCAATTAAGACATTGACATGCAAGGATGCATCATGCTTTGCACAGGATAATGGTTATGCACTTGGAGACAAATTGCAAAGAAATCTAGACTCTGGGCTTCTGTCTCAGATAGACCATATGTTTGTTATCTTCTTCGGGAGATGCGAGAGATAGTGAGTTCTTTTCAGAGATGTAAGCTTCTTTATGTTACTAGGCAAGCAAAAGCGGCAACTCATCTAGTTGCAAAAGAAGCTTTAAACTTCGGACATTGTATTATGAATTACAATGTAATCACTGCCTTTTTGGTTTGGGTCGTGCAAGCCAATATGCCTTCTTCAGATGAATAAAGAGCCAAAGTGTGGAGAGTGTTAAACAAAAAGAGCTATGCACCAGGAAAAGGATTTGGAGCACTTGGGTGCTCCACATCCCTTATATGAACATTAAGTTCAAAAAATACCGGGAAAATTCAAAAAAAAATCCAGGTCTTTGGGATATGAAACATGAGTGCACAATCTACTCTTGTGTGAAGTTTCATTGAAAAATACAAGAAAAATGTATTCTCAATAAAAAAGACAAAAAATCTGCATGTATGAAAAAAGAACAGTTTGAATGGATAGTAGGTCGGAGTATATTTTTTTCACCACATATACATTTCCTGATATATTTTAACGAAACCTCGCATGATAGTAGACTGGGCACCCAAGTTTGATATCCCAAGATTTTTGTTTTTTTATTCTTTTTGGTATTTTTTGTATTTGCAATTTTCATATAGAGGGTGTATTTTCCCTACGCATCACTTCTTTTTTCCCGCATCGCCACGTAGGTTTCGGACTCTCGGCCCGGTCGATCTCTCCACGGCGCAGCCCACAAGGCGCGTGGGGGGTCACGACTGCCGACCGATCCTTTCCGCCTTTCAGCTCGCTACCTAGATCTCTCTTCCACAGGGGAAGTCGCCGAGGAGGAGGGAGGGCGAGAGTATGGGGCGGGAGGTGTCGGAGAGCTGCGTTGATGGGGTGGTGATGGAGATGGTGGCTGCCTACTGCGGCCGCTTCTACGCCGCCAAGCCGGAGCTCGCCGCCGGTCGCATTGAGGCCATCGGCTTCCAGGTTGGCCATCAACTCTCCGAGAGGTAAATGAAGGAACAGTCTCTCCCATCTCTCCTTGCTTGGATCCCCGTTTCTTTCTTGGCTGGATCTGTAATCTCTTGCTTTGACTCGCACCGATCCGTCACGTCCCACCCCGTACCAGATCATTAATTCCCTGTTCGTCAAGCGGTGGGAGCTAATTGCCCCCGATTTGGGGCCAACTGTGTATGCGGATAAATCTTGAGATCGCATTCACAAATTCTTGGAAGGATTCTAATATAGTGTAGATAGGAGTTAATTGCCTGATTTGATTGGTGCCAAGATCAAGCGGTGACCTGACCTCTTGCCTGGCAGTTCGTATTTTGGTTTCCTTGCAATCGAGTACTGAATTTCTAGTACTTTGATTTTGGACTGCTCTAGAATTACCAAGCTAATTTGAGCTTGAGCATGGGTCAATTCAGTGACCTACAAAATGATTATCTTCTCAAGTAGGACAATTTCATTGCCTATTTCTTTAAATTCCAGAATTTAAATAAGGTTACCATTTAATTTGTTCAGAATTTACAATTTAGTAATGCTAAAGGTTCCGTTTCTTCCAATGGGCTATGTTGAAGCACCATCGGCATCAAGGCGCTACTATTGGTGTCATTAGTATCAAACAGCCCTGCATACCTAACCATATGCAGTATTTTAGTTAATAAACCTACAAGTCACTCGCTTTTTACTGGATGTTTGTTATTTAGCAGAATCTCTTTGACCTGCACTATTGCACTTGTAGCAGATCCTGAAAAGCGAGATGGACTTGTTCATGAGACAATCAAATTGACACTTTCTGTTCATATCCAGATATACGATGGAGCGCCCTCGATTTACTGATCATCTTGAGGCAATCAAATTTATTTGCAAAGATTTTTGGTCAGAACTGTTCAAGAAGCAGATTGACAATCTGAAAACAAATCATAGGGTAATTGAACAGATAACTAATACTCCATATTTTCTGTTCATATTAGACCTTGATATAACTTGACTTGCATGCAGGGCACCTTCGTTCTTCAAGATAACCATTTCCGGTGGCTTACTCGTGTTTCTCTAGATCCAGCAGTAGAGAGCACTGATGCAACTGAGAATGACTCTGGGTCATTAGGTGATTCTGCAGCCCAAACAACAAGCATGCTTTTATATTTCCCATGTGGGTTAATAAGAGGTGCTCTGACAAACTTGGGGATTCCGTGTGCTGTCTCTGCAGACATGTCAAACCTTCCAGCATGTGAGTTGAACTATTCTTTTCCATGATCGTTATATATTTAAGTATGCGAAGGAGGTTACATGATCCATTGGATAGTATTTCTAAAACGTCCTGTCACCCACCATACTTGGCACATCAACCAATCCATAGAGTCGAACAAGTATTATCTTCTCCAGATCGATAGATTACAATTATTCGTGAGTTTGATTCAAAAGATACCATACATACTTTCCAATGTTGCGAGCTGAAATCCAGTGGCACGGGGACTAGTTTAATGTAGCTATGCACTTGTGGATTAACATAAACTATATCAATTGTGGGCGAGGTTTGGACTAGTATCTGTTTGAGTTCGTTTGGTTGTTCAACAATATAGAATGCATTTGTTTCATGTCTGCTTTTTCAAATTGATTTCAGTTGCTGTGCAAAGCCTTTTCCTTCTGATGTTCCTTCAATTGAAATCTCAAAGTAATGTTCCCTTTTTGAATATTTCAAACCTCCTGGAAAGACGAGGTTTTTAACTTTTTATGTGTTTAAGCTATTCATTAATAAAGTCAGCACCTATTGTATGCATTTGGAAGGACATCACATTCTCCCTTCTTTACTTGGCAGCCCAGATTTCCTCTCCTTTTTAAATTTACATTAGGAGTTGAACATGCCAATCAGTTTTAGATTTCCAATCACCACTTCATAAAGTCCGCATTTTGTGGTCTCTGACAAATAATGATTCATCATTCGACAGGTTCTTTCGTGGTGCGCATAAAGACATGATCTGCGAGAAATAGAACAAGTCAAATATGAATCCCCTGCCCGTGGTTCAAGTATTTTGGACGGTAAAGTAAGAGTAAAGTAAGAACGTTCAGATATATTTTACCTGACTGTATTGTAGTGTTTCCTTCTTTGGTCAAATTTCAAATATTTGTTGTTATTCTGTGATGCAAGGTACTTTAAAATATTTGGTCCGGAGAATGCATGTAGCTATCCAATTTTTCATCTGTCAGTGTTGGGTTTTTATTGTCACATGATAGTGTGGATGTTACTTGCCCAAGCTCTTAAGCTGCTTACCCTACTACTACATCCATCGCACTCTAGAAAAGAAAGATGAACATGCTGGGGCTGGTCTATGGATTTCAGGAACTGCGTCCATTACACATTTATGTGTGCGTATTGAGTTGCTCTGACATACTTAACAGATGGACCAAAATAAATTGCCAACATAACGCCCCAGATGAACAATTTAGAACAGCGGCGAGCATGAAAGGAATGCAAGAGAACCTCCAAGCCGTGTCTCCACAAACAATGCTCTCAACATAGGAAAGACGTTAAGGACGCTGCCATCGCCGGTCCGGAATCGAACCTTGGCTTTTGCCCAGAGACAACCAACCTAGTGATAGACAGCTTTCCTCACTGGCTTCCTCCGGTGGCGGGCGGGGAGATCAGGAGGAAGGAAGGATGGTGGCGGCACCTCACTCTCTCTCACTAGGTTGGTTGTCTCCAGGCGAAAGCCTAGGTTTGATTCCGGACCGGCGATGGCAGCGTCCTCAACTTCGTTCCTATGTTGAGAGCATTGTTTGTCGAGATATGGCTTGGAGGTTCTCTTGCATTCCTTTGGTCTTGCCGCTGTTCTAAATTGTTCATCTGGGGCGTTATGTATGACGTCGTGGGTCAGTCCAAGATGACAACTTTCTCGGGGTTGTCTGAGTCTCGCTACCCACCTACCAGTCTTTTCGGCACTCAAGGGTGATTGGTGCATCGGTAATGATAGTTTGTTTGGAATTATTGCTCTCTGGAGGTGACTGGCGTTGGTCAAGACACGGGTTTGTTGGTCAGTTTAGGACAGGCCCTGGTGCGTTGAAGTTATATTGTGTGTGTTCGAGTTGGAGTGGTGTTTGCTTCTCACCGAGCTGTGATGGAAGCTTGCTTGAATTTCTTGTATTTTATCATCTGCCTTCTATAAAATTAAGGCACTCAAGTTGCAGGTTAAAAAAAAGATGGACCAAAATGATAATCCGAACAACTGTTCTTATAAAGCTATGGTTCGGTGAAGAGCAGCTCAAAGCGATCAAAAATCAATCTTTTCTTATTCTTTTACAACTAGACTAGAGATGATTGCTGGATACATCATCTGGTTCAAGCGTTTTGGCCACCTTCAGCTATGTTTCGTGGTTCAGATCTGCAACCGCAACCGCCATCACCTTTACCGCTTGCCGAGTTCGCTCTCCACTCTCCAGCTATCGAATCATCTGCAGCTTGCTGGCTAATTGGACCAAGAAGCGGCATTCGACAGGTGTGTTGGATCTGAAGAGCATCGCCATAATTCCAAAGCTAGTAGGTTCCTGGTGCCTCCTGTTCCCAAACAAGGGTCTTTATTTTCCCATCATCGTATCTAAATTTTAGACTCCAAACAAACATAGTAGTATATGTTTGAGAACACTAGTTACTCGGAAAGACCAATGTAGGCTACAAGAGGCAGGAGGGTGAGCAGAGGAGAACATCAGCGGGTAGATATATACGCAGAAAATATGACAAAGGTGAGAGCCTCAAAACAGCGGTTGGTATGGTCTATTGAACAGAGAGCTATAGTGTAGTTAGTGCAAGGGGGCTAGGACAACATATGCACACATGTGTGTACTTTAGATAATTGTTTCTTGCGAACTCACTCCTTGAGGCAAAAAAAAACAAAAAAAAAACTGGATCTTGTTCATTCAAGTGAAAATATTTTCCTTTTTCTAGAACACGCAGTGACGGTACCAAGCATCTTCTATATTATACCAACTGGTTTTTACCAAAGTTGATGAAAACTTAAACTCAAAACCATTTATGCACTGGAGGGGCTGTTTTGTCTTTTGAGCTGAAGCTATTTATACATCACATGCCAAAACCGATGAAATCAAGGGGCATTACTTGATGTGACTGGGAGTGCATGTGAAGAAATGATTAAGAGAGTTGTATTTGCGAGAGAGTTGAATGTTACTCCAAAGAAGCACCACCTCCCTTCCGAAATGACCAACGACCCAGAACCCCAAAGGAGCTCTTTACAATGGGCTTCTCAACCGTTCCATCCATGAGTACTTCCTATTAATTTGCGGTGGCTATGCCAAGATCACGACAAGTGCAGTAATTTCGTTTCTTCATGGCTGCAAGAACTTGTTAAAAATACATTAATTTACACTTTACTCAGGAAGACAAATTAGTGGCTCAAAAAGTGAAATATAACTCTATTTTGATGCACATATTTTCTTTGTGTACAACACAACTAAAGACGAAGGTCATATACAAGCAATACGTTCTTAGTAGAGCATGTAAGGCCATAGGTAGACCTTCCAGGCAGCCTGGGCATCATTACAGATAGTAGGTAGTATTACAATCATTCATGCTATGCAAATTAAATCATCTCTTAACCTTATCCACCGTACGGTTGTCCAGACATTCCAATCCTTTTGGAATCCGTTTTTCAGACAATCTAACTGTCAGATGAGAGGCTGGTAATCGATCCACTGCCACTTAAGGCCTTGGAAGCCCATATTTTCCACCAGGGCGTTTGCATTGCACCAGCATGGTCACACCCTTGACGGATTTACCATCTGGCTCAAGAAAATCAGCCATCTTCAGTTATGTTTCGTGGTTCAGATCTGCAACCACTTGAGCCCTTAGAGCCGGCCGAGTTCGCTATCCAGCTATAAGATGCTGGGCAACTTACTGGTTACTCGTAGGCACCACTACATCATGAGGATGATCAAGAGGCATCCGCGTAAAGTGTTGGATCAGGCGGCACAACTACAGAAGATGATCAAAGTTATGTAGCTACTACGTTCCCGGTGCCCCCTGTTCCCAACCAAAGGGTGTTTATTTTCCCACCATCATATGTAATTGGACTTCGAGAACACTAACCCGAGAGGCCAACCCAGACTACAGAGGCAGAAAGGTGAGCAGAAGAGAGTGGATATATATGTAAAGAAGATGACCAAAGGTGAGAGCCTCACAACAGCGGTTGGTATGGGTCTATTGAAAAAAGCTAATGTAGTGTAGTTAGTGCAAGGGACGTGTACTTTTTCTTGGTGGTTCACTATTCTCAAGACAAAATCCCTGGATCTTGTTTCTTGAAGTGAAGATTTCTTCTTCTTTCTAGAACCTGCAGTGATGATACCGAGTGTGTTGAACAACCGAGTTGAATGTCACTGCATTCTGCAAAGAAGCGGTACCCCTCTGTCAAATTGACATGTGACCCAGACCCGGCAAAGAAAACTATACAATGAGCTTCTCGACCGATCCATCCATGAGTACTTTGAACTTCTCCTGTCCACAAATATGTGATGTTTTGATTTTTTTTTGTGAATTAGATGTATATAAACTTGTTTTAGTGTATTTGTTCACTTATTTCAGCATGTATGTAGTTCATATTGAAATATCTAAAATATCTTATAATTCGAAGCGGAGGGAGTATTAATTTGCGGTGAGCTATAGTACAACCACGATGAGTGCAGTATTTGTGCCATAAGAGCTTATTAAAAATCACTAATTTGTAGTTTGCACAAAAAGTCTGGCATGGCTCCGCGGGACTGGCGCATCCGCCTCCTATTGGCTCATCTCCCCGGTGAGTGTGTGGTAGGAACCGGATCCCTACTAGGGTGTGATCTCAGGTTGTAGGGGTGGAAGGAGGGATGGCGTGGAGGAAGGCGTGGTCGCGGGCGTTGGGGCGCCGTTGTTGCGCACGCGCGCGAGAGAGAGAGAGAGAGCAGGGCAGCGGCTAGGGTTAGGTCTCCCGGCTCTCTAAGGAAGCTGAGCAAATATGATTGCTTCTTACTTAATCCCAAAACAGGTCCTTACACAAATTTATATAATCCTCCTAATAAGATAATTGGGCTAAGCCCCTAATAACGATAAGATAAACTGGGTCACAACTAACTAGGCTAAGAGCAACTCTAGCAGACCCCGCATCTGGCCCCGACCCACAAAATAACCGCCAAAATGCGGGTCCGCGTGGAAAATCCCGCCCGAACAGAACCCACAAAGGCGGCCGGCCCGCAAAAAATTTTGAGGGGCGCGGCAAAATCTCAGCCCCAACCCGCGAATACGCGAGTTTCCCCCTCGCCGCTGCGGTGCCCTGCATATAAGCGGAAGCGGTTGGTGGTGGTGGGGGGGGGGCATTTCAGCCCACGTTTTCCCCACCAACCACCTCCCCTCTCCCTCTCGCCCCGTCCGCCGGGCCGCCGCCCAAGATTCTGACGAAAGTAGCCGGCGGGAGCACACCGAAAGGCTGCCACACGCACGAGGCCTCCCCTCTCCCCCCTCCTGCATCGACGGACCGGAAAGTTGCGGATCTACGACCCTTCATCGCGAGCTGCCGGATTTGGCTTTTCCGGCCACTGGAGGCTGCGCCAAGCGATGGAATGGTCGAGGAGCATGTAACGCCCTCGATGCGGCTATATCTCCCACGTGTCGAAGCACGACTTAGAGGCATAACTGCATTGAAAGCAATGTCGCAAGTGAGGTAATCTTCGCAAACAACCCATGTAATACAATAAGGGAAAAGATACATAGTTGCCTTACAATCGCCACTTCACACAATTACATGAATAAAGCATTACATCAACCAGATACAATCAAGGTCCGACTACGGAACCCAAAATAAAAGAAGACTACCCCAAATGCTACACAGATCCCCGATCGTCCCAACTGGGCTCCACTACTGATCAACTGGAAACGGAACAACATAACGAACGCGAATTCATCGAGCTCCTCCTTGAGCTCAGTTGCGTCACCTGCACGGT